AAAAAAAAAAAATCATCCACCTGATAAGTCATCACTTTAGTAGCATAGGGCACGACACCAACACTTCCCAGCCCGTCAACATCTTCACACTGGTAGCTCAAATATCTGTTTAACCTTTTGGCTTTGACAGTATAGTTGCTTGAAAGAGGCAGAGCTTCACCCAACCCATCTGCTAAAACATTGGTCAAGAGAAGCTCCCAGTGCGGGTAAATTGGCCTCGCTGGGCGGACACTCACCTGTGGCGTCCGTGTTCAGCTGCGGCACCTGGCTCTCCGTTTCCTCCAGCTCAGCCTGCAGCCGAATGTTCACGTGGTTCACCAGATGGGAGAAGAGTGCCAGCGTAAAAGCGATGGACGCGCTGTACTGCTTTGAGCCTGCAACACAACCAAATGATGAAATGACAGTGACCTCGCACCTTGCAGCTATTTACAAATTCACTCATTCATTTGGTTTTGTGGAGCCGAGACTTGCTGCGTATTTTCACGCTTTTTTTGTACAATGCCCAACACTACCACAAGATGGTGCCAAAGCCCTGGCTAATGGGAAAATGGCAACTGCGTGAAGGAATTCGTGCTTACTGTTACATCACAGTTCATGTGTCACACACTTGCCATTGGACTTTTTTTTTTTTTAAAGAAATCGTGTGTTTTAACAGTATACTTATGGTAAGGCTCTCACATGTAGGAAAGAAGAGCCACGGTTACTAATGCACTTCCCAGCCATTTAATATAGGGCAGGAGAACGGTAAAAAAAAAAAAAAAAAAAACATTCATTGGTCCTACCTCCTCTCTTGAGGCTGTGCACCACCATCAGGCACGTCACCACCATCTTGAAGACCAGCGCGTCGGGCAGCACGGCACAGGAGCCATCGGTGGCAGGTTGTTGTTGTTGTTGTTGTTGCTGCTGCTGCTGCTGCTCCTCGTCCTCCTCGCTGAGGGAGTGGCGTGCGGCGGCGTTATGGCCGCGCAGCGGCAGTGCCGCCGGCAGGTAGAAGAGCACCAAGTTGAAGTCCTCCAGCACCGACTGGCACAGCGAGGTCAACTCGGACTCCATCAGGCTGGAAAAATTGGGAAAACATTCTTTCAGCGTGGCGACTGAAAAGTGAAGAAATGTTTTATGGGATATAACAGTATATGAGTCAAAGAAAAAAAAAAGGGGGGGGGAGGGTATGTAGTCCATGTGGCTAGTCTCACCTGTTCTTGGGTTGCAACAGACTCTGCAGGTACATGAAGCTCACCAGGAGACGCTTGATGTCTCTGGATCTGCAGGTAATGCATTTACGACCATCAGGAAAAAAAAAAAAACACACAAAAAACCATTTGAGTTCAGCTGCTTCTGTCAATTGAAAGCAAGCAGAGGCCAGTTGCAGATGTTAACGACAACTTTAAGTAGGGTTCCGTTCCATTTAGTTTGAAGGCAAGCGGCTTCCTGCTGTTGCTCAAGTGTAATGCGTGGTCACGTTCAATCTCCGAGTCATTAGAAAAGCTTGTTAGTCCCCCGGGTACAACTTGACAGTAAAAAAAAAAAAACAAAAAAAACAAAAAAACGTTTGGCATTTAACTTGTTTGTTGATGCTTGATAAAGACTTGAGAAATTGTGGCGAGGTATGTAATCAAGTGCACCCATTTTTCAAAAGGGATTATGGACAGTTTTAATCTAAATTGCTTGCATAGGAATACGGTGACATTTTGACTGACTTGTACGATATATCAACTGCATTAATTTTGCCCACAGAAATTCTCGTCCCCTAAAAACATCAACTTTTTTTGTGATATAAAATAATGGCAATAAACAAACAAACAAATAAATAAATAAAAAGTAAAGACAAATGGAAATTGTAAAGTTTTTTGAATGGGACAGCTAACCACACAAATGCAAAATGAAGACACTCACAAGGAGCAGACGTTCGGACTGAAATAAGAGGCTGAGCCGACTGACTCCCTCATCTGATGTCCCTCATTATGTCAAACCTTTTAAAGGCACACAAACTTATTTCCCTCTAGAAAGGAGCGCGACAATAAATCTACCAATATACGATAAATATATAATCCTGCCACAAGGCGAGCGTCCTCACCTCTGTCGAGACGGCGAAAGCTTTTTCATCTCCTGCTTCTTCACTTGCTGGTACATCTTAGCCGCCTTGTCAAAGAGGCGCTTCAGGTTGCCATAAGCGCCCTCGAAGGGGCTCTCGGATTGGATGCTTTGGGGGCGGGCAAAAACACAACAGGGAGGTTTCAGTCGAGACGCGAGAAAGAGACGAGGGGCCGGCGCGTGGAGCGCCACTCACCAGCGTAGGTAGTAGTAGGTTGCTTCCACATTGTAGAACTTGCTTCCAGCCAGCGTCCCCAGTTGATTGAAAGGCATCCCTGGAGAAGAAAAGCATTTTAACCCTTCAACTAGCGACACGCACACCCGCACAGACAATCGGGCCAAATTTGAACACTGTCCCTCGCTTACGATTAACATTAGCAAAGCGAAGTTGAGTGCATATCATATTTTGGGATCAAAATACCACAATTTCTTGGCATTCTGGAGCCTTCAGTGTCAGTCAATTTTTTTATGAAGGCTGCCTCAAAGACAGCGCACTCACCAACATGCGGCATGACGGACAGCGCCTGGTGGTAGAACCTCTCAGCCAGATGCTCCGCCTCCACGCCGGCCAGCTCGTTCTGATAGCGCGCTGGAGATGAACGGCGACAACACGATTTCTTGACTTTGATAACTATTGATGCTTTATTCAAAAGAACACACATTTAATGGCAAGTGAAAGTGACGCAAAAAGAATGACTACAGCGGAATGAGAAGAGCCGAAAGTAAACAAAAAGGTCGTGTGACTCCGCGCTGCGCAAAATGGATGCAGGCAACATTGTGGAGGGACTATGTCAAAACCGAGTTCTAGGCATAAAGGAGGATCATGACAATCCATATTTTCACTGTCCCTCGCTTACGATTAACATTAGCAAAGCGAAGGTGGGCGGATCACGGCATTTTCAGTTGGGTGTATATCAAATTTTGGGATCAAAATACCGCAATTTCGCGGCATTCTGGAACCTTCAGTGTCAGTAACTTTTTTATGAAGGCTGCCTCAAAGACAGCGCACTCACCAACATGCGGCATGACGGACAGCAGGTAGACCAGGCATCGGTGACAGGCCATTTGGGCCCACTCCATTTCCTTGGGGGAGGCTGACAGTGCCTTCTTCCGGCCTGCGGGTGACATGGAACCACCAACTTAGCAGGCATCACGCCGGCCAGCTCGTTCTGATAGCGCGCTGGAGACAACACGATTTCTTGACTTTGATAACTACTGATGCTTTATTCAAAACAACACACATTTAATGTCAAGCGAAAGTGACGCAAAAAGAATGACTACAGCGGAATGAGAAGAGCCGAAAGTAAACAAAAAGGTCGTGTGACTCCGCACTGCGCAAAATGGACGCAGGCAACATTGTGGAGGGAATATGTCAAAACCGAGTTGTAGACATAAAGGAGGATCATTAAGACTGACAATCCATATTTTCATTTATCCAAGAGACTGCTTATGTGCTGCTGTTTTGGTTAACAAGAGAGTTCAAACTACTAGCCATTTGCTCATGGTTGTATTTCCTCATTGGACGGACGCGATTATTTGCCGGGGTACCTACCGAGATCGCCAAGGTAGACCAGGCATCGGTGACAGGCCATTTGGGCCCACTCCATTTCCTTGGGGGAGGCCGACAGCACCTTCTTCCGGCCTGCGGGTGACATGGAAACACCAACTTAGCAGGCACGACTTGTTATCAAAAGTCGGTCAGAGAAACATCTGCACGGGTAGTGCGACTGGATGTAGAGCAGCAGGTGCTGGTAGAAGCCCACGCCGGCAATCAGGTGCGTGCGGTAGGCGCACTCCAGGACGCTGCGGCTGTGGATGTGCTGAGAAGACACAAGTTGCCGTCACAAAGGCATACAGGGGGTGAGGGTGTGTGTGTGTGTGGGGGGGGGTGCATTGCGCTACTTTGCTCGCGGTCGATACTATGCAGCAAATTTTTGAGGGACCGTTCTTGATGGCTTCTTACAGTTTACAGCCAAGTCCGAATTTAGAGTTGCATGCCTTTATCGTAGTAGCACAATATGCTGCGCAGCACTGACCTCTACTGGAGGACAGAGGCAGAGAAGGACGCCAACTAAGGTTGAGACGTAACGGAAACAAGTGCCTGCGAGTACTGTACGCCACATTTGTGCTGTTGCGGTGTGTGTGTGTGTTAAAGTAGCAGTTGTTTGAAGGTTTACAATTACCCAAACATGTGTGTGTGTGTGTGTGTGTGTGTGTTAAAGTAGCAGTTATTTGAAGGTTTACAATTACCCAAACAGCGATGCTAATTTCCATTAGCCTGTCTATGGCAATTCACATTATGTGCTCGTATGAAGGCAGCAGACTTGGGAGCGCCGAAAAGTGGTTTCGGTCAACATTTTGCTGTGTAAATATACGAGGGTGAATTCTCTTTTGTCTTCTGTGTCAGATCTATACGAACCTTCAACTCGGAGCGACAAATACAGAGCTTGAAGCCGGCACGCTAGGACTCTTATTTGGAGCACTATGTGGCCATTGCACACGAGAAACGCTTTACCTTCTTGTTGGTCTTGATGACTTGGATGACTTCGTAGTAAACCTTCCTCCACAGCAACTCCTCCGCCTTGCGGCCGTAGTCCACTGGGTGCAGGAACATCAGTTTGACACACAGCTCCCTCAGCCTGAGCACAACACCAACACCATCAAAAAGGAGAAAAAGAAGAAGTCCGTCAGGGCAGGAATGAGCTACCACTGGGAACATGGCAATTGTTCAATTAGTTGACACAGGCCCCGAGTTAGCAAAAGGAAGCAAACACCCAAATTAATACAATTAAAATAATTATGGCGCAAAATGCACTTCTGTGAGATGGGATGCAGATTTTCGACGTTAGTTGTGCCTAAAGAGTGAAACGGTCCTAGTACGTTCGTAGCAAGGGAGCTAACCCAAAGTAAAGGCTGCCAGCTTGTGCTAAGTGAGTGAAGTTGTAAAATTGGCAGCGTGGTTTTGCCTGAGCCGGTTGTAGCTTTGCACATGTGCTTTTCATCTGCAGTCTGTACACAAGTTCGTGAACATCTCGTGCTCTGGAGAAAGTCTCAGCTTTTCCACATGCCTTCAATAATGCTGAAGAAGTAGCACAACAACTGTCGCTGTTTAATACTTCATGTCATTTGATAAATCATGTTGGTTTGCTTTTTATTAAGACAATTGGGAATTTGATCTCTGGTTTCGGTCAAAAGGGTGTTGTGAAAGCATACTTGTTACGCAGGCTGATGTTCTCGGGCTTGAAGACCTCCCTGTACGACGCCTTGCTGCCAATGATGACATCCAGCTTGTGCACCGACTCCACCACCGCCCTGCGGAGAATCGTTTTCGCAGGAGGGGGAAGTGAAAAACATCGTCTTCTGTTTCACACAAGGGCTGTCACTGTATTCACAACATTAAAAGTGCCTCCATATTGTCATGATCATGTCTCCGTTTAAGAAAATGTGATCCCAATGTATGGTATTAGTAATGTATAATATCACCTTAAGACACTTAACTGTTTTTGTATACATGTCCAAAAAAATGTACCTTTAGTGGTGCTAGGCATTTAAAACGAACACAAAAATTCCCCTTAGCATTGAGACGTTGGGCAGAAATGGGTGCATTGTCACCGGTTTTACAGAGTCATAACTTCTTTTTTTTTTGCTTTCACAATCGTACTTTTTTTTTTTTGCTTTCACAATCGTGTTGGGAAAATGACGCTTCTTGCACTTCATAATGTGACTGATTTGGCTGACAATCAAAGCAGGTCTCGTGAAAAAACCAACTCGTCTCTGAGATTGCTCTTTCATCACAGCTAAACTATGATCATGTCTCCGTTTAAGAAAATGTGATCCCAATGTATGGCATTAGTAATGTATAATATTACCTTAAGACACTTATGAACTGTTTTTGTATACATGTCCAAAAAAGGCACCTTTAGTGGTGCTAGGCATTTAAAACGAACACAAAAATTACCCTTAGCATTGAGACGTTGGGCAGAAATTAGTGCATTGTCACCTGTTTTACAGAGTCATAACTTTTTTTTTTTTTGCTTTCACAATCGTGTTGGGAAAATGACGCTGCTTGCACTTCATAATGTGACTGATTTGGCCGACATTCAAAGCAAAACCAGAGAAAATCCAACTCGTCTTTGAGATCGCTCTTTCATCACAGCTAAACTAGATGATAAGAAAGCGTTTGGGCTGCTTGACGACCATTGAACGATGCGCCTGGTTCGTAATAAAGGCAGCGAAATGTCCTCTTGGATTGGTTTCGAAACGATTTGCCATCCGAGCGCAATCACGTCCAATGCGCGGCCTCGTTGGTACCTGTACAAGCGCTTGATGAGAAGGACTTTCGCCTCCGGTTCGCTGTCTTGTGCAAATATCCTCTGTCTGTGTCTCACACTCCACTTCTATTGCAGTCTCATCTTCCTAATTCTCAGGATCTTCATTTGTATCCCTTTCCTGCTCTGAGTCCTCGCTCTGAAAATAAAGCCCGTGTCCTCTGTCTCTCCCTCTCTGGTGCTTTCAACTTGCTCCTCTTCAAATCTCTCACCACTATCATCATCTGACTCTCTGTGTCTGGATTAATGTGTTTCTTTTTCATATAGAAATATAATGTAATGTCAGTTTTTCTTTGTAATGTCAGTTTTAAATGTTTAAGTGAAGAGGAATTAGACTTAATAATGCTACTGTTGGGGGCTTGTTTCGTTTTGTGATTTTACATTGAAAATATAAATCGTGTCGAAAATAGCACTCGTGTCATGGTAATTTGCTTCTCTGCGGACTGCTTCTCATTTTCCCGCTCAATTTTGAGTGTTGCAGCACACTAAAGGGTCCGACTAGAATGTTAAGCCACGCACATTGGTTCCACCTCTCGCGTCTGCAACTCTGCGCCACTGCGTATTCTACGTTCGGAGGGGGGGCCACAGGGGTGGCCAGAATCAGTGCTACAGGGGCACTGGCCCCCGTTGGCCCCCCCCCAGAACCGCCACTGCAAATTGACGGCGTCCTTGTGACTGCTGCTGCTGGCGTGAAGCTCATCAGACGACCGATCAGTCAACGCTATGATGGAAACACCTGTGCGGGCAACCTTGAGCACTGAAATGGAGGGCAACCGGTCCCCTCAAGACAGATTTTGCATTCCCATATGCAGTTCGTCTTTTTTTTCAGCCAAGTTTCAATGTGACATTCAAATACAAATATTCAGCATATTTACCACTTATTTTCTTTCACCTTTACAAGTGACATCCTATTTATGAATTGGTAAGTGTTTAGAAATTAGCTTTATAATTCACTTGATGACAAGAACGTGCGTTGGGCCGAACTTTGATGTGATCCTACTGGCCACAACATTAGGTACACCACCTATAATACACAAGAGTGTTGTCAAATTTGCACTACTGTCCTTTGGGGAAGGTAGAAATTGGGTTAGGGATGAAGGTGGTATCTCACTGAGCGGTTGCCCCTGTCATTCATGACATTTAGCAACTTTCACCGTCCAAATTGGATTTCGATAAATGGAAATGAATGATGTGCAACTCATGAACACAAAAGATAATAGGCTGGTTCTTTTTTTTTTTTCTTCAAATGTCAGTTTCACAACCGCTTCATAACTCTCTGTTGCTATTTGCGTGTCCAAGCAGATGTTGTAAAACGTAGGCTACTCCTCATTGGCTTCCACTTTGTGTCTTGTTTCCTCTGGCAACGTGGTGATCGGAAAGAGAGATAAGTGAGATGTGAGCTTTTCTAACCCGAACCCTTACGTCCGAACAGTCATTGTTCCACCATCGTTGTGTTTGGATTGAAAAGGTTATTAAAATAAAACTAGAAAAAAAAATCAAATCAAGAAAAAAAAAATCACTTTTTCAAATTAAAAACCTTCTTTGGCTATTTGGCTATCCAAACGAAATAAAACCACCTGCTCAAGCATAAAACAATATAAAAAAATAAATAAAGAGGACGCAAAAGCACACCAGGTTAAGAATTTAATAATTTATTTCATTTCTACCTCCAGATTCACCCGCCCGAAAAATATAAATTTCCGGTGTATTCAAAAGAAAATAAGAAAAGAAAAAAACCCCAAAACAACAAGGAAAGTAATCTCCAAAAGGATTACGACATGGTCATTATCAACTGCACATGCGCCGACCCCATCAATCAACAAAACCCAAGTATTATTATCATCCATATTATTCATATTATTGTTATTATTGTTATGACAGCAAGAATGAAATCATCAGAACAGCCACATTCATGTACAGCACTCTTCCACAGCACTCTTCCAACAATATACACCAAAAAAAAAACAAAACAAAAACAAAATCCGTTCTGTCCCCCCCCCCAAAAAAACAAGAGTGGAGGCATGAGGGGCAAAGGTGTTCGGATTGGGGGTAGGACGCTTTTATATGGCTTGTCAAAAGGGAGGAAGGGGGCCAGGAATGAGTAAATAAGTAAATAGAAGATAATAAGGAGGCACACTTAGTATTATGAAAGAAAAAAAAAAGCAACGTCACCAAAGGATCCCAAATAATGCGTCAATACATCAGAGTTGCCGGAATAAATATAGATCTCTGAACGACAACCCACAACCAATCAAGTGGAAGCCACAGCTGATTATGGACCAAACAAATCAAATCACCTGCTTGTATTTACAATCGCCCTCCGAAGAAACGCTAGAAAAAAAAAAGTCGCATTTTTGACAGTTGTTTTTTCTTTTCTCTCTCTGTGCATTTGTGTTGGAACGACCTCAATTGGTAGAAAGAGAAGAAAAACGTTGGAGAGACTGGAGGGAGGGTGGGGGGAGAAAAATAACTGTACACTCTGCATCTTATTACAAACAAACATATACATAGCATATACTGTAGATATGTACACATACACACACATTCATTCCGGCTCAGGAATATCTCACGCTGAGGATTCTCTCATTCGGAGAAATCTCTGATTCTGAGGAATCTCTTGTTCTGAGCAGTCCATGGGATTTCAGTTTTGGGGAAAAAAATAAAATAAAATAAAATCCAAATTCCCGCCAGGAAAAACGTCCAAAGTCCATCGAGGTGGAGTATAAAATAGCAATCCTTTTGCTTGTAAACAGAGAGCTCCATGGCGACGGCGTCGTGTGCAAATTTTGGGGCGTCTTTGTTCATGAGGGACACACACACACACACACGCACACGCACACGCACACACACACATACACACATACACACGCACACATCCTTTTGTCCTGTTTTTGTTTGTTTGTTTTTTGTGTGTGCGTTGATGTGGGCAAGATTGTCTCCATTAAGAAAAAAGGTAGAAAAAAAAAGATCAATCAATAAAGAGACTCTGGAAGATCTCAGACGACAAGTCCTCCTATTACTGTATGAATAAATAAGATTGCTAGATAGAAATAGAAAACAGTGGATAAAAGTGATAAAAGCGTCGGAAAAGCCAATGAAATGGCAACCAATCCTCTGTGGATGATAATTTAAAAAGACTACGAGAGAAAGAGAGAGAGAGAGAGAAGGAAATAATAATAATAATCATCATCATCATCATCATCATCATAAAAAATGCTTTTAAAGTAAATCAGCTTGAACCCTCCTGTTAAGATCTGGCTGGGTCAATTTTACCCCAAAGTGTCTAAAAGGACAAAAGTCACAATTTATATGTTGAGAGAAAAGCATGAGACGTTTCATACCAAAACCAAAAAAAAAAAAAACATACTCAACCATCTCGAGAAGTCTAAAAACAAAACAAAATGAAACAGAAAAAAACCCGTCACCAGTTTCTCCAATCTGCATGCAATTGAATGGACACGTCTGTCATAACACAACCCACGAACAAATCTCAAGCAGCCATGACCACGAGTGAGCCGCAAGACCGCCATTTTGATTCCAGGCACCCATTTGGGGTGAATAAGGTGGGCATTCAGCCATTTTGGTCTATATATATATATATATATATATATATGTGTGTGTGTGTGTGTGCGTGTGTGTG